CCAATCTCTCCCTATCCCCCTCTCCCTCCCCACTCTCACCACTGATAACCCTAGATTTCTTCTCTCCCTCTGAAAGAGTAATGGTTACTCTGTTGATTTGTTGCCTAGATGATCTGTCCAATGCTGACAGGTATGTTCAGGTCCCCCAGAATTATCATAGAGCAGATGCTTCTTCTGTCACTCTGGAATGGTCTTTTTGTATGTAAGTCTTATCTATGAATAGATAACTTCTCCTGACACTCCTATGATACCAGACTTGAATGTTTGCAGGAGGCATGGGGTTGAAATTTACTTGAGGGCTTTCCAGTCCATCCTTACACAGGTATTTTGAAAATTAAGGTCCACTTATATTGCATTCAATTACGAGGCCCAGGTATAACTCCTCCCCTGAGCTTTCTTTCTCTTTCTTTGTGTTTTAGTTACAGGAACCTGAAAGTCTGTATGGCCCAGATATCTGTGGTACTTAGAAAGAATGCTGCTGTAATTTTCTGTGCTTCTAACAAAGTAGCCAGTTCCTATATTCTTTTGTCTTCTTCCTGAAAACTCTCCTGTTAGACAGTAGTATAATCTGATACAAGATACCTATATTCTAACAAAGAGAAGAAAACAACACATTAAGTAGAAATATATATATGGAAATTAGTGGGTAGGGCTTTAAAATGACTTCTCATTTGGGGGGATCTAATAATTTATTTGTGTTAACTGAAGTTTTCAGTACATTGTTGATGAAATATTAAGCATATTCTTATTTTTCTGTTATGTCTCAGGTGTTTGCTCACTAGCACTTTGGAGAGTGCATGCTTATCTGGCACATCCATAGCAGAATGAACTGTGTGTTCCCTTTCCGAGGTACTAGATAGCAATTTCCCCTTTTTGATTGGCACAGTAAGCTTTATCATATACTAATATCCCTAGCTACATAGTGATTTAAAATCCAGAATAAACCTAGGATGGGAGAAAGAAGAAAAGTCTGTCTTATAAAAACAGTGAAATTTTCTCAGTGTGTGTTAGAGGTTTTTAGGAATTGTCTGTTGTTACTGTGTTTTTCATATAACAATCAAGGGAAAAGGTTTTTCTATTTGTTTTGTTTGTTTACAAAAACTTATACTCCTAATGGCTTAACTGGAATTAAGAGGAAATATTTGGAAAATTCAGTTTTTCTTTATCTGTGCAGCTTATCTGCTTTTGAAAGTTCAGAAAAGTTTTTCTTGTTTTTATCTTTGTGTTTTAATTATTCATGGTACTTCTCTTCATATGGAATCAGTACTGCTGACAAGAGCCATCCTTTGAGATTACTAAAATTACTTGCATCTCTTGAAGTGTTGGAACCAAAAGTGAGAAGCAAGTTTCTTTATCAAATGAGACTTATAAAGCTAGCAGATCTACTTATACAAGTTCCCTATTTATTTGAATTTAAGCAAGCCATTGTTTCCAAAGCAGCAAGGTTAGAAACCAAAAGAAAACATTTCTTGATGGACAGTATTTTCATTTAAATATTTAGTCAAACTCAAAATGATGAGCATTCAAAAGAAAGCGTTACCTTTGGATATGTTGTAGTCATGTTTGCTCAAAACACACATACGCATCTCTCTGTCTCAGTGATTTGAAAGTGGCAGGCATTATGGCACCTTACCCCTAAATACTTCAGCATGTGTCTACTAAGAACAAGGATATTATTCTGCATAAAACCACAATACTATATCACACTCCAGAAAGCTAACATTATACAGTACTTATATGCTAATATAAGTCTGTTTTTCTAAATTTTTCTAATTCTCCCCAGAATGTTCTTTTATAACATTTTGTCCCCTTAACCCAAGATCCAGCCACGGGTCACTTGGTTGTAGTATCTCTGTAGTCTGTCTTAATCTAACAGGCCTCCTGTCTCTCTTCTCTCTGTCCCCCCCCCCCCTTTTTTTGGTCCTTTATAACATTAACATTTTTGAGGAGTCTAGGCCAGTTGTCTTGTAGAATGCTCCATAATCTGATTTTGTCTTTTCTTCTTTATTAGTTTCCGGTTAAGCATTTTTGGCGCACTTGGGAGAGTGCGGCGCTGGGAGTGCAGCAGCGCTCCCGCCGTGGGTTTGGATCCTATGTAGGGATGACCGGTGCACTCACAGCGCTCACTGGCTGAGCACGGTGCAGCCGGTCTCAAAAAGGACAAAAAAAAAAAAAATCATTTTTGATAGGAATACCACATAGGTGATGTACGCTTCCCACTAGTACAAGAATACACTGTATCAGTTTGTCTCATTATTGGTAATGCAGTTTGGTTATGATGCAGATCACTTGTTAAGGGGATATTGGTCAGATCACTTAATTGGAAAGGTCCTTTTTTAATAATAAGTAATATGTGGGGTGGTACTTTGAGACTGTGTAGCTGTCCTTTCCTAGTAACCTTTGACCTGATGATTTTAATTTGTTAGTGCTTTAAACCAGGATTTCCTCAGGGGTGTATTGATGAATGTGAGTGTATCTGTGAAGTCCCAGGAAATTATTTTGTATGCATGGATTTTTCCAGGGATATAGTCTCTGACCCCAAAATATTTAAAAGATTTTTTCCCTGTATTGTTTAGGTGTCTTCTACAAGTTTCTTTGCATCGGAGAAGTGTGTTTTAAGTAGTGTGTTTCTAGAAGCTGGGAACCAACCCTCTTCATCTAATATTTGTGATTATCTAGCCCAGTATCATGTAGAGCTACGTACTTAATCTTTGTTGTTTGAGAATGATTTATTCTGGCCTGTTGCTTATCTTGAGCCAAACATTTGGATCTTTTATGTTCGGTATAAACTGTACTAGAAAATAAAGCAAAGGGGCTTAGTTCCTGGTTTTTGGTGTTCTTTCTGAAGATTTTTGGGCATAGCAGTTTGATTTGTGTCTTTGCTGACACTAAAGTAAACTTAGGTCATTTGGAAATGAGTGAAAACACTACAATATATGTTTTAGTTGTCTAATTATTAGTTGTATCAATAAGACATTTTTCACAAGTGCAAATGACTATGTAGACAAAAGGGCCCAGGAGGTGACTTTAAGGAGCCTTAAGTCTGTTATTAGCCAACTGTGGAAAGCTTTAGGAGTGGTTAATTCTTGATTTTCCTTGCTCAACCAGGGAGCAGTGTGGAATTAATCATGGTGGTGGCCAGGTGTGTTTTGTTTACCTTATTGATTAGCCTATTAGTAACATTGGTTTGCTTTGCATAAAAAAGTGTCAAAAATAAACTATTTTGTGGGAGAAACAAGTCACAAATCTTAACACAGACTATCTAGTAAGAATACTCCTTTTTTTCTTGCAAGATTATAATCATAACTTAAATTGAAAGGAAACCTGAATTTTATCGGATAAAATAACATAGAAATCTCTAGGGCAGGAAACTGGCTGCCTTGTCAATTCTAAATTATAAGAAATTATAAATTATAAAAATTAAGCAAAAACATTTTGCATATGAAAAGAGCATTCCTTAGACCTAGCCCCAAAGCCAAAAGAAAAAAGTGTCTGTCAGGTGACTGACAATAAGAGCTAACATTTGATTAGTATATATTAAAAATATACATTATACCACTTAATCCAGAAGATCACCGTGTGAAAACTAGATACAAGGGTACTTCAAAAAGTTCACGGAAGAGGGCTGGTTGGTAGCTCACTTGGGAGAGCATGGTGCTGATAACACCAAAGTCAAGGGTTCGGATCCCCATATCAGCCAGCTGCAAAAACAAAACAAAAGAAACCCAAAAAGTTTATGGAAGGATTCATATTATCTTTTAATTCTATTTTTCCGTGAACTTTTTGAAGTATCCTTATATTCCATTCTAATTCCACAGGTCGGGAAAAAAGACTTAGAAAAGTTGAAGTAGCCAATAACGAACAGCTTGTAAGAAGCAGAGGAAGAACCCCCAAGTTCTGTTCCAAATTCTTTGTTCTTACCATTCTAAAAGGTAGAGGCATTCTAGGGAATCTAAACATGAACTTGCTCTTAAAGATGTTTTAAATCTAACAGGTGTGTCTTCATATAAATATATTATAGACAGCAAATTGAGGGAAGAGCTGAGGAAGTACAGGAGAGGGCAAAGTGACCTCCGAATATAGGATCAAGGTTGGTTTGATGGAGGTAGGATTTGGGGTGGAAGAATATTTTGGGAAGAAGAGAGTGACCAAAAGCATGGATATGAGAATACACAGGGCTTGTTATAGGAGAGAGATTGGTCTACTTAGGCTAGAGCATGAGCTGCATGAAAGAAAGAAAAAGGAAGTAGTAGAAGCTTGACCTGAAAGATAGATTAGGGCCAGGTTCTGAAGGGCCTTGAATGCCATAGGGAAGAACTTTATTCTGCAGGTATTTTGAGCAGGAGATTAAAAACATGGCTCTACAGAAGACCCCATAATAATGATAAATGGTTACATTTTTAAGTTATGAGTCTGCTAATCTCTTAATATACATTATCTCATTACTACCTCACTGTAACTCTATGAACAGTGTACTGTGTCCATTGTACAGAGGAGAAACTAAAGCTCAGCAAGATTAAGTAAATTGCAAATGTCAGGAGCTGAAGCTAGCACTCAGTCTCAGGTCTGTCAGATTCTAAAGCCTGTTCTGTTTGCCATTGTGATATATTGTCACTTCTTTGATCAGATCACCTGATAAGTTCCTAATTCTCTGTCAAGAATATGGCTATAGGAAAAGGACATTTTCAAAGTTCTGAGAAAACTGTTTCTCACTGTGTAATCATGTTAAAGAATGATGTCACTACCAAACCTGACTTGTAGTGCTCTCTAATTTGGGACCAGAGATAGATGGGAAATTAAAGAATTGGATAATGTTTTATTTATATACCTGTTATAACATCAATATGCGCATATAGCAAGTGCTTTTGTTTTCATTTTCAGTGTCTAACATTATTGGCCCTAAGTAAATCTTAGGTTAGGTAAAGCTCAGTTCCCAGGGGCATGTAAGATGCATGAAGAAGTGATATTTTTCCTAGCTAAAATATGTTTCTTCTCAGCAGGTTTTCTACTTGTAAAAGACAATGACTACTGATGAAGGTGCCAAGAACAATGGAGAAAGTCCAGCAGCCACTGTTGCTGAACAGGGAGAGGATATTACCTCCAAAAAAGACAGAGGAGTATTAAAAGTGAGGCCACAAAGATAAGTGATATACAGGGAAATCTGCTATCTGGAAAGATTGTTTATAAAAACCCTTTTTTTTTTTTTTGAGGAAAGTTTGGGGGTAGATAGTGTTTATGGAGGCTTACTAAGTGCCAGACATATAGCTAGATTCTCATTTCATCTTCATAACTCTGAGATTTTTATTTTTATTCTTTTTTTTTTTTGTCTTTTTTGTGACTGGTAAGGGTATCGCAACCCTTGGCTTGGTGTCGCCCGCACCGCGCTCAGCCAGTGAGCGCACTGGCCATCCTTATATAGGATCCGAACCCGCGGCGGGAGTGCTGCTGCGCTCCCAGCGCTGCACTCTCCCGAGTGCGCCACGGGGCTGGCCCAGATTTTTATTTTTAAATCCCGTATTATAGGGGTGGGGGGAGAGGAAGATTTAACAACCTCAACTTTTTTTTTTTTTGAAGCTCTTACAACAAGAAAATGGAGGGGACACATCTGGGTGGGAGGGGGGAGAGGGAGGAGGGAGGGAGGTTTTGGTGATGGGACACAATAACTAACTACATTGTATATTGACAAAATAAAAAAATAAATAAATAAATAAATCCCGTATTATAGATGGTGACACCAAGGCTGGGCTAGGTAAATTAACTTGTCCAATATCATATATGTTAGTAAATGCAAATCCTGGGGTTGAGCTCCAAGTAATGTTTGACTCCAAAAGGCTATGTCTCCCTGTCATCAGAGTATACAAATATATTACTATTTTTTTCCTTTTTTGTCTTTTTTTCGTGACCGGCAACGGATCGCAACCCTCAGTGTCGCGCCCGTACCAGACCAGGACCGGCCACAGGATCGCAACCCTCGGTGTTGCTCCCGCCCCTCGCTCAGCCAGTGAGCGGCCGGTCTGTATGTGGGATCCGAACCCTCAGCGGGAGCGCCACCGCGCTTCCCAAGCAGCGCACTACAGCAGTGCGCCACCAGGCCGGCCCCTATATTACTATTTTAATATATCATTTTAGTATATTAAAGCTAGCTATTGAAAATTTTAAAGACTTTTTTAGAGAGAAGGAAAGTTAATTTGTAGAGTTCAAAAGGATTTATTTTTACATAAAAATAGCGTTCCTGTGTGCACTGAATATATCTTTTGAGGTTTCATCAGAAAATATATCTTACTTTTGAATTAGCTTTCCTACTTATTAAAACACTATATTTATTTTTTCAGTCTGTAGTTAATCATTTTCACTTTTTTTATTTGTATCTCACAACTGTGTTGTGAAACACTCAAAGTGTCTCTTGATTCTTCCATTTTATAAGTGAATAAACTGAAGCTGAGAGGGGTTAAGTGGCTTTTGTCACATTAAGTAGTTATCTCTCCTACACGATTGTTATACAGACAAGTTTTGTACAGTTATGTTTTGCTTTGTTTTTCCTGAAGAGAATATCTTACACATTCTAAATATTACCACTACGCACAGTTTTAATATCTTCTGTGTCAGCAGTAGCAAATAGGAATTTTTTAGTTTTTTTGTCTAATCTTGCTTATGTGAAATTCTTTCTTCTGTGCCTAGATCTCTCCTGAATATGCATGTATAACTACTAGCTTGCTATGTGCCAAGCCAAATTTTGGAAACTTACAGCTATAGTATAAGGGCTTTATGCCTTAGATTTACATTATATCTTCTTTTAGGGGGCTTCTCAACTTTCTTGCTGTAATTATTCCCCCAAACTCCAGGATGCTTATAGAGACAGTGGAGATTCTTCAGGCCGTCCTAAGAATCTCCCTACCGCTATTTAAGACTCTCCCTTTCATCTTTTCAGAGTGCCCATACACAGAGAACACAGTCCTCAGACCTGTTTTGTTCTAGAAAGTAAATCCAATAACAAGATTTTTATAAGCTTATGAGAAACATTTGAGATTGGAAGCCCTTTATTTTATTTTGCGGCTTTATTTGTCACTGTCTAGAGACTCAGGTTTCACCATGGGGCTTTTGGTTATGATTAAATAGCTCTAGATCCCTATACTGGTCAGCCTCCAAAGTAAATAAATAAACAGGTCTAGTTAACTGTGTGACTGAGGGCAATTAACTTAAACTGTGATTTGGTTTTCTGTTTGTGAAATTAGAATAATAATACCACCAATCTCATAGACTTATCAGGATTAGGTAATGCAGTCAGCACAGTGCCTGTCCTATACTAATCTCTCTCATTAACTATATATATATTTTTTTTTTCTTTCTTTTTTTTTTTTTTTTTTTTTACCCCTAAAGACCAAAGCAGGTCTGCAAAGTCAGTAACTATCCCAGGAAGATAAAATTTGGATTTATATTTTTTAAAATGAATTGAGACTAGATTTTATCCTTAAGGCAACTCCAGATTTAGGTACAAGTTCATCTTGCTGGGGAAACCAGAAGTGATACCACAGTATCACTTGCTGGTGTGGATGGCTGTCTGACTCCCCGGTAGCCATTCATCCCATTGCCCAATTATTTGTTTATAGTCCTAAAAATGCAGATTCCCCCTCCATGTGAGGCTGGTGATTGAGCATAGGCTCCCAAATACCACATGCAGTTCATGAACATGAGCACTTTTAGAATATCATATGCTTTCTTTTAGATTTTAGATTAATTTTTTGAAACTTTTTCTTTTGAAGTCCTAGAAGGGCAGTAATGTTTCTTTTCCTTTAAGGAATGTTGAGGCTTTTGAGCTAAAAAGTTATGGAATCTGAGTTCATAGTGTTTATATGGAGTGTTAGGGATACAACTCAAAGAAGAATTTAGGAGCAAATAATCAAATTCTTTAAACAAAAACTTAAACTTTTCACCCAAAAAGAGGTCCATTGGATGTCAGCTGCCATCATCTGTTATCTACTAAAAATGATTAATTTGGCATAGATGATTGACAGAATGAATTACACCACCACACGCCTGGATTTGATTTTCTTTTCCCAGAACTGACCAACTGCATTAGCAACTTGCTTTGCCAAGAACAAAATAAATATACTGGATTTTACAATAGTTAAATGCTTTCAGCTTGGAGCTTTTTTGGTATTTCCTTTACTAGAAGACAAGTTATTCGGTATCGTATCAAACTGAGCATTGATACTAATGTTTTTTACAATTTGAATATTTTTCAAATAATAGGAAGTGTAACCTGTTATACCAGGAAATTGGGCTTTCTGAAATTAAACCTGGAATCTAGTCTGATGCTAATGTTTTTAGCAAACGAGGGAAGTAAATAAAATCACACCTTTGAAACTTTGCTTTAGACTCCTTTTTGAATGTTTTCAAAAGTCCACCAATCTTTTTGGTCTAATTCAATTTGTATATGGACTAGTTTACAAGTCTGTACTTTGAGAGATTTTAGTGTCAAAGTCTGGGGCATTAAACCAATGAAGCAGGATTTATTATTAGTTAATGTTTTTGAGGGAATAAATAGTGTGATCAGCAATAAAATTAAATATAACATAAAAGATTAGTAAAGGATAGTTTTCTAACAGTGAGGGTTATTAAAAGAACTATGAAGAAAGCCTTTAAAAAGAACAGATAATAGTGTATTTGCAAATTTGCCTAGGTGACTTGGAATAGTGATCATATTCTCTGAATATAAGCAAAGAGTTTCACCTCCTTTTTCTTGATGTTTGCCTTTCTAGATTGTCAAAAGAGTGGGGAATAGTGAGGAAATGCCAATGATTGGAGACAAAGTTTATGTTCATTACAAAGGAAAATTGTCAAATGGAAAGAAATTTGATTCCAGCCATGATAGAAATGAACCATTTGTCTTTAGTCTTGGCAAAGGTAAGAGGTATTTTTTGAATTGTGTTTTGCTTAGATTTATAACTATTTGTGTTATATAGGAGCAGTGGATCCCATCCTTGCCAAATGTAAAAAGTAAAAATATTTTAGAGCAATAGTAGTCAAAGTATGATCTGCAGATCCCTGGGGGTCCCTGAGTTCCTTTCAGGGGGTCCATAATGTCCATTATTCTTATAACAATACTAAGATGTTATTTGCCTTTTTACTGCACTGTTAACTTAAAAGCTGTAGTGGTAAAAACTGCTGGTTCCTTAACACAAATCAAAATATGAAAAGTTCATTGATTGCTTTCAGATTCCACATTGCAACTAATAACCTCTAAGCAACCACTTGTCCAGTTATGATGTAGTATCAGATGATTATATTCACAATTATCTGAAAAGGTTATTAAAGCGCTCCTACCTTTTCCAACTATCTATCTTTGTGGATTTGGATTTTTTCTATATCCCTCAACCAAAATTGCAACAGGTGATTGCAGAAGTAGGTATGAAAATCCAGCCGTCTTGTATTAAGTCAGACATATTTTACACTTGTAAAATTATAAAACAATGCCACTCTCTCTTCTCACTGATTTTGTGTTTTGGAAAATATAATTTGTTTTTTTTAAATTACATTATTTATGTTAACATGGGATTATTGTCTAGCTCATTCCTAGATAAAGTATGGGGGAAAAAAGAGGTAATCCCCCTATCCGCTACCATGGTTCAGTGTTAACTGTAGTTCCTTTCTCTTTCTGACTCTATACCTAGCTGAACTGCTAACCAAGCACGGATCTGGGAAAGGAAACAGAAAGTGAGGAACTAAGGAGTTAAACTCTTTCTGCCTTTCTGCCTTCCCTGGTACCCATGGTCATTTGTGTGTCGTGGTGACTGCTGCTTCCTGTCTAGCTATGCTCTTACCAAGCTCTAGTGCTTGGCTGTGCCACTGCTCCCTTCACCTTTGGGTCCTTAGTGAGTTAATGGCTTATGTGACGTTAACCTTATGTTTTAATGAGATAGTAATATAAATCAAATACAGAGTCCCTTTCTTGACGTAGCAGATAATTATGAGTTATTTTAGAATTTTTTTCGTTTTTGTTGATTTAGGGATGTGAACCTCCAGGGCTACCAGAATGGCTGTGGCATCTTTATTTAATTTAGATGACCTCAGAGTGACTGGCCTCATCAGACCTCCTTGGTCCTGCTGCCCCTCAAATCCTTGCTCTACCCTTGGAATTTGTCTTAAAGAAGTTGATTTAAAATAGATTGACTCTCAGCAGTTACCTTGGCAAGTAGAATTGCTGAGAATTTATACTGCCACCTCCTTTACCTAGATTTTCTCAGTAAAACACTGTGGTGAATGAGTCTTTCTTGTTTCCTAGAATTTTGAGCAGAGTGAAAAGATTTTCGAGTTCTTTTTTTAAAATACAAGTTGGGGGGCTGGCCAGTTAGCTCAGTTGGTTAGAGTATGGTGCTGATAACACCAAGGTCCAGGGTTCGATTACCGTACTGGTCAGCTGCCAAAAGAAAAAAAAACAAAACACAAGTTGGGAGAGAAGGCAACTTTCAGCTGACATTGTACCTACGACATACCTGTCCAGAAAAGTGTGGTCTCATGGGAAGAGCACCCAGCTGGGTATTAGGAAGCCAGGGTTCCTGTCTTCACTATTCCCTGTGGTATAACATGAGTAAGCCACTTAACCTTCTCTTCTCCTGTAAAAAGGAGGAGCATAGGCAGCAAAAGTAAAAATAGATGAACTGGACAAAATCAAAATTAAAAACTTCTTTGTATCAAAGGATACTGTAACAGAGTGAAAAGCAACCTATGGAATGGGAGAAAAAATTTTGCAAATCATATATCTGATAAGGGGTTAATATCCAGAATTCATAAAGAACCCCTAAAACTCAACAAAAAACAACAAAATAATCAGATTAAAAGATGGACAAAGAGGGGCCGGCCCGGTGGCGCACTGCTACAGTGCGCTGCTTGGGAAGTGCGGCGGCGCTCCCGCTGAGGGTTCGGATCCCACATACAGACCGGTTCCCGCTCACTGGCTGAGCGAGGAGCGGGGGCAACGCCGAGGGTTGCGATCCCGTGGCCGGTCCCAGTCCGGTACAGGCGCGACACTGAGGGTTGCAATCCGTTGCCCGTCACGAAAAAAGACAAAAAGACAAAAAAAAAAAAGATGGACAAAGAACTTGAATAGACTTTTCTCCAAAGAATATATACAAATGGCCAACAAGCATCTGAAAAGATATTCAACAACACTAATCCTTAGGGAAATGCAAATCAAAACCACAATGAGATATCATTTCACACCCATTAGGTTCTATCAAAAAACAGAAAGTAACAAGCGTTGATGAGTATGTGGAAAATTAGAACCTTTGCACACTGTTGGTGGGAATGTACAATGGTGCAGCTGCTGTGAAAAACAGTATGGCAGTTCCTCTAAAGATTAAAAATTAGAATTACCATATGATCCAGCAGTTCCACTTCTGGGTTTATATCCAAAAGAACTGAAAGCAGGGTCTTGAAGAGATATTTATGCACTCATGTTCATAGGAACATTATTCACAATAGCCAAAAGGTGGAAGCAACCCAAGTGTCCACTGAGAGATGAATGGTAAACAAAATGTGATATATACATACAATGGAATTTTATTCAGTCTTAAAAAAGAAAATTCTTCTCTCTCTGCTTCCACCATCTTGCAATACGAGGGGTCACTGTTGCCACCACCAGCTGTGTTCCTTGGACTTCAGACTTCCCATCCTCAGAAACTGAAAATGGCCTTGTGAGGTTTGAGCCCTCCAAGCAAATGCTGCCTTGTATGGAGACATCCTCCCCCGACACTGCTCAGGAGACCCATGAAGTTCATGGAGACACAAACCAGCAGAGCCCGCAGGGGCCTCCCCTCGCTCACTGCGGGCTCGTGCCAGATGGCCATGGTTCTCCCGTGCATCCTGCCCCTCGCCTCTTGCTTGAGTGTGAACACAGCTCTGTGCACTGTTTCTTGATTCATTACATCCCACATTCTGACAGCTGGCTAAAGTATGCAGAAAAGTGCCCACGCTGTTCATGTTAGATGGAAGAAAGCAGAAGCCAGACCCCTACTGTTCAACGAATCGATTAATCTCTGAACAGCAGAGTTAACTCTGCTCATCTTTGGGCTATCCTGGGACAACTTAGGGCGGATATCTCTACTTCACTTATTTATGTGTTCATTCATCAAATTTTGATTGAGCTAGTGTTTAAGTTGAAGAACAAGGGGTGTGGCATGTGCAGAGGGCTGGAGTAAAGAGGACCGTGTGTGGGTCTCAAGTGTGTAAGTGCAATAGGATAAGCATGTGGAGTGCTTTTCCAGCCAGGAGAAGAAATACAGATTTCATGTGGCTAGAAAGGGAGAATCTTTGAAAAGCTTGAATCAAAAAGGAGGGGAGAGTATGTTGGCATGTCCCCTGTGGAGGGTGTGTTGAAGGACAGAGCCTGAAGGCAGGAGGACCTGTTAGATGTGTTGCAGGGTCCAGGGAGGCATGAGCCCATCCAGTGGCAGGGGGCATGGAGAAGCAGGAGTACGTGTGAGGTATATTTCAGAGGCAGAACTGATAAAAAACAAATGACACAATAAAAAACAGTAAAAAAACAAATGACACAATTAA